GCTTAGACTTGGTTGCTTTTTCAATTTTTCCTAATAAACAATCGTGGTACAAAGCTCAATAAAAATATTAAAAATAAAAATGTTAACAAGCCACAATAACATTGACAAATATTTTTTTTTAATAATATAATTCATAAACTGAAAACAACTAAATTAAAAAAGAAAAATATTATAAAATTCAAACAAAGATTTTTTTTTTTTAATGGGATTAAAAAAATATTTTTCTTTTTAAAACAAATTAAAAGCAGATTATATTAAAAATAGCAAAAATTGAATTAAGAAAGAACAAAGAAATATTTTTAATCTAAAAACAAAAAATCTAAAAAATTAATTAAATAAGAAATAAAAATAAAAATAAAATAAGTTTCTAAACATTAGATGAAATTAATAAATGTAATTGTATGTATGAATTTTTTTCCTTTTTTAAACATTAGAAACTAAAAATAAAGGAAAATTAACAAAAAAAAAAACAAGTAAACATGCCGCTGCCCGAGGACTCGAAACTCGGATCTCTCGAATCCCACGCCAGTGCATTGCTCCCTCGACCATTGCGACTTTTGGACTGGAGCGAGCAAAATGTTATAGTAGTGCTTTCTTTCAAAAGAGCTTTTCACCATGAAAATTTGCAAAGGAGCTTTTTGTAAAATTTTTGTGTCCAGAAAAAAAACGCCTTCAAACTATCTTAGCTACTGTCTCAATGGTCTTTAAGAATACTTAATTTTCTTATCCTTAGTTTCGTCAGAAAAATTGGGTGGTAAAACCGTCTTGGGGTAGGAAAATCGGATCTGGGTCGATATTACAGTACAGTAGAAAAATCGTTTTGGTTAGTGCAAACGTTAATAAAACGAATCAAAATTTTAATGCGAATACGAATGCCACAGTACATTACGAGTATTTATAGTAGCAGCTATATCTAAAAAAAAAAGCCGAAACAAATATGTGACGACAGCATCCGCGAAGACTAAATTAAATCAACATTTGTCTCACTTAAATGCTCATCAAATATGTTTTACAGCATGACATTATTGAGCGCATCCTTGTATCTAAAGCATAAGCTAGCTTCCGCTCGTTTATCTAAGCAAATAAACCCCCGAAAAAAAAAAACAATTTAAAAGGCAGAGGAATCAAAGAAAACGAAGCAAAAGAGTTGAAACATATCAGCCGGAAAGCAAACACACCTACTCAGCAATATTTGTACAGCATAAGAATGGTAGAGGTTTTTTGGAAATCTAAAGAAAAGCAGCATTCTAAGTGGAGAGCTATCGCCAACAGCTGCCGCTGCTTTTATGTTTGCCTGCCACTGGAATCACTGAAGTGTAAAAATATTTCGTTAAAGTCACGGCAAACAAAGATTTATAAATATAGAAAAATATACAAAACTTTGCAGTGTATGTGTACATTTCAAAGCACATATGTACATATGTATGTGTGTACTTGCATCCGCTCCTACACATCGGCAAGTTCAACCCACACGCAGGCACACTCAAATGCTTGCATAAGTGCACTTGTGTGGCAAATTTCAAAAAAAAACTACTTTTTTTTTTTGAACTGGCAAACGTCGACAAAGGACCAATTCAAGTTTGAATTGGCATTGAAATCATGAAGGCATGTTTAGATTTTTTATTTGAAAAATTTTATTCCAACCCTCTGCATATGTCCATAAGTAATATACTTTTACGTGAAAGTGAGTGTATACCTTCATATAAGTATGTGACATTTGCGCATTTGTGTATGTCAGATAGCAAACAAATGTCACTTCTAAAGTGAACAATTGAATTTGGCGCAATGACACAATCTTTGCCATGTTTACATTTTTTCACATCGTTGCACGCATCTTATATTTATACATATGTATGTATGTATGTATGTACGTTTGCGCATACAAAATTCAAGTACAAGTTTTTATAAATCTTAAAAATGAAAGTGTGTTTGATGTCATATTTGCTCTGCTCGCTTGTCATATATTTTCTCCTCCTTTCTATTTGACAATGAGCGACACAATTTTTTACTTTTCTTCTCCATTTTCATTTTTCTACATACATACGACTAGAAAGGTCTAGTTTAAAAGGCCAAATGTGAGTATAGGCCGATGTTAATACGGATAGCGTCTGTTTGTTTATGAAAACTGTTATAACTATTTATGCTAAATATTTAAGATACCTAAGCATGGAGTATTTATCTATGCAGATATTGAAAAGTGAAGAATACAAGTTTTGAAGCATCAATTTTGTATTACTGCACTAAAGGGTCTACTGGACTAAATGTTTTACTGACAAAAGATATGTACATATGTATGTAACTCTGCATCATAACCCCCATTTGAAACATCGAAAACGTTTAATGTTTTATATATGTATTTATTTATGCCAATTGAGTTAAGGCGGTAGTCAGTAAGCCCTCCATTTGGCTTGAATCTATCAAAGTTTCACCGAGGCTTGGACCAGTTCTACTGCCTTAAACCTCGCTCAGTGAGAATTTCATCGCGGTCTACAATCTTTACTTAGTTAAACGTTGAAATAGTCCAAGTAATAAGTGCTGTAGTGGTCTAATCATTAACCCAAGCAAATCGAGTTATTATTATTTCATAGTAGGAACAATCTAGACTTCCATGCATATAAGCAAATCTCACGGGTTGTTACATTTATCGACATAAACGAGTTTTGGTCTAAAATGATGGCACACTTACCTTAGACAATGCATTATCTTCAATTTTACATAGTGAAAAAAATTGTATTTAAATAAAAACTTAAAATGGGTATACTTAGTGTGACCAACTGTACATAAATGATACGTAGAGTACGTAAATTGGTAGCCATGTACCGTGTACCAAAGCTAACCACAAAATCACGAAAATGTACGTAAATTAAATCGAAGAAATATTGTTGTACATAAATTTTATAGATAGGAGCGTCCAAAATACATACGTACATGCAAATTTTGACTAATACAAACGAAAAATATTATAATGAATCATTTGATGGAAGTGTAAACACCTCATTAAAAACTCGTCAAAATGACGATAACATCCCCAACACTGGCAACGCTGTATGCTGAATACTTTATTTGTGTTTTCTTGTGTCCGTTAAGGGTGGGTAACTCAGCAAATTTATAGGAGCTGACTCAATGACTCCAACTCACTTTAGGGAGTCAGTTAATTCGAACTAACTCATTTCACTATTGTATATTAAACTCATTCGTCTCGTAGACTCGTTATGAGGCATAAGTGCGGTATACCGGCCGTTGAGATAAAACAAAAATTAAAACAGGGGCGTATTGAATGCGTATTTTCTTTGATCAATCAGATTTGGAGCGATGAGAAATCACAACTGAAAATCGAGACATTGCAAGATCTTTTGTTTGTTCGGTACAACATTAAAATAACTTGTACGGAATTTTTCGAATTCGTAAAGAAGCAGCCTCAAATGCTGAAAGAAATTGCATCAGATGGAAAATATGCCGACACTTTTGTAATTTAGCAGCAATTGCATTATTTCAGCTATGAATGTATGTATGTACCTAAATATTTCTCAGTTCGCAAATAAATATGCTGAAGTTTGTACGTCAAAAATGTGTTTGGATATCGACTAATAAACAGCAATAAAATCGTTTCCAAAATTTTTCTTTAAAATTCTGTGTTGCTACAATCTTTTGTATACGTAAATGAGTTTTTGGAAAAGTGGTCACACTAGGTATACTAAAAAAAGCCAAAATAACTACTCGTGCGCATATATTTACGTGTAGTTATGTTTGTAACGCATACGCCCCGCCCCGTTGTACCATTCAAGGCCAGCTAACTTAAAAGCTTTACTTAAAAGTAATTAAATATTGCCGTGCAATACAGCATTCTTCGCGAATATATATATTAATTTTTGCAATTATATAACAATTTTAGAATGAATTTCAAGTGTTCCAATAAAAACTTTAAAATTGGAACTTTTGTTTCGCAAGTCTTCGTCTTCTTATAATCAATACCATTCTTTTTTGTTTGGTGGCACTCTAGTTTTATTATCCTAGATTGGCTCGTTTTGGCAAAAAGAACATGCTCACTGTTTAATGTTAACATTTCGAAGTATCTTATTCTTTTAAATGAAAAAAATCTTTAGATTTTAAAAATTACAAAATAGCTGCGACAGATACTCTGCATCCTGCCATTTTTTTTTTGCACACTTTTGAATTTCCAGATATGTAGTATTTGGTGCCAACATTCATTGCCTCTCAGAGTAACATTCGGAGTTCGTTCATAATTTGCGTAATTTTACTTGTACTAGGTATGAAAATGTACACATCATTTTTGAATATGATGTTTATTTCCCTAGTTTTGAGTTTCTAAAGAATTGTAAAAATGAAACTTAGGGTTTTTAAGTACTTTTTCGTACTGAAAGAGATTTCAAAAAAATATTAAATTTACCGATTTGTATAGAAAACATCTCGAGTTCAGTTAAGAAAAAATGAATAAATTGCATCACATCGGAAGTGAAAGTTTGAAATCAGACCTTAGGAAACTTCCGCTGTTTTTTTTTATTTTTCTATTTCAGAATATAGTCAAAGGCAGAAATATCTTACTTTTGAAGCTTTACTGCCGTTTCCTCAAGTGGATTTTAAAACCTATTTACCCGTCAAGCACATTTATTCAGACTTCAATTTATATTTAGAGAGCTGATAAATTTTAAAACCGACTTGTGAAAATGGCACCTAGGACCGTTTTCTCATCTAACCTTTAGATTACCGCCAACTTAATCGTCTCGATATATTAGTTTTTGTTTTCTTATCAGCGCATTAATTTCTCGAATCGATAAATTGTTTCTCACCCGAAAGGTTAGATGAGAAAAGGGCCCTTAGAGTGTGATCGGCATCAGTTAGGGGGATAGATAAATTTGTGCACATAGGCACATTCTTTGTAACGCAAACAAGTTGCTTTTGTTTCTACTTATATACTATGGAAACTGTCCCAATTATATAAATGTTTAATACATAAAACTTTCAGTGGGTTATGCTTCGTTTCACGTGCTGAAAATCTCTGTTGAAAATAAAAAATTGCGCGCTTGCTTTTTACTCACCTCGGCTGGAAATGTATATCCCTCCACACTATGCTCCGAACCAAATTGATCGTGAAGTCCATAGTGTATATGAATTTCATGAAATCGATATCTGTATGAGAGTGGTCCGCCAGATATATTAACTGGCGTTTGCATGCCATCATAATTCGCTACAGTCTCATTGCCAGCGGTGAAGATAACGCTGTGCCCTGTATTGCTAATTAGACCGCTTATCTGCAAAATAAATTATTTAAAATCATAGCGGAACAACTATTTATGTAATGAATGGGCTGCTTAAGATTACTTTGAGTTTACGAAATTCTAAACTTACTCTATGTTTGTCAATATGCAGCGGTCTCAGATTGGGATCGAACAACAATCGTTGTGGCTCTAAGTTCACTGGTGATTGTCGACGTCCCTTATTACAAAGTGACCACTCCGGGTTGATGAGACCCCAAAAGGCGGGACCTGAAAGAAGGCGGAAAAATATTCTCAGTGATTTTTAAAACCTTTTTTATTTAAATAAATAAATGTGTGTATGTATGTACGTGTGTATTTAGAAAGACTTTGGCGATCAGATTTAGTCTTGATTCATCTGTAATTACAACTAATTACTGAGTAAGTATCAAAATTTTAAGAGTTAAAAATGCTGCTTGCCTAGTGCTTTCCTAGTTAATAAAAAATAAGAAAATAGTTTATAGGATTTAATAACCTTTCATTAAAACCGTTACTCATACGCCACGTAACTCCAAATTTTCTACTACAATAATACTATCAATTTTTACCTTAAAATTCATAAACTTTATACGAAGCAAATTTCCTTTTCAATTCCACCCGCAATGAAATAATAAAATAAACACTACAAAAAAAATGAGAAGCATACAATACGAAAACTTGTTCCCTAAACAAATGTAAGAATAAGTAACTGAAACTTTCCGAAGGCATCAAACAAATAAGAAGAGCCAGGTTAGGTAAATAAACAGAAGTAAAAGAGAAGAACAACAAATAAAAAAAAAAAACACAAAAAACAGACAGTAAAAGTGGAAGTAAGCGGAAACCGACGATTCGAAAAAACGCAACTGGCAAAGATTATGGAGAATTTCAAATAGAGTAAAATGAAATAAGATAAAATGTTAACTGAACTGAAGATGCTGAAAATGTAAAATAAAGTTTTTGTGGAGCAAAGTAAATAAATTAAGTTTTGTTTGTAAACAGAAAAAGAGTTAAAGGAAAGTAGGACTAACGTTAAACAAAAAAAAAAAATATATAAAAATAAAAAGCTGAGAAATGGTTTTATTAGTTCTGCTGCCTCTTTTACTCGTTGTTTATTTTTATTTTTGTACAAGTTTGCATATTTCCTAAATATTTTTAATACAAATAAAATTGGTGAAATTAAGAATTTCTACATTGAAGCCATCTGGAATCTTAATGAAAATGTACTTGTCTTTGTTCTGTCATACCACTTCAGCTAACAACTTTAAGTAGATACAAAAATTTAGTTTTACATTTCACATATTTTGTGGGAAATATGATTACATATAGGACGATCCAAAGTATATAATAAGGTTCTTATGATAACTATATGACACCCAACCATTCACAAGTTTTTTTTTATTATGGGTAATTCATGGAAACACGCAAATGCCACCTCCTAAATTAACCGATTTTCCATAAAAAAAATTAAGTAAGTTTACGAGGCCGACATGGTTATAAAGCAGTTGCGTGATTAGATGAATTACCCTATCATTAAATTTTAATAATTTTTTGGTAAAAATATAGCTAATTCTATAAGATAAACCACATCCACCCAAGTTTCCGCCTTTCAAAAAAAAAAAGAAATAAAAATCTATAGTTATTCATTATTTGTATTTATTGCTAGTAAATATGCAACGTGCGACAAATATTTAGCCGATTTACCGAAAAATGAAACCTACTCCTTGCCCTCTACGTACAAACACTAAAAAGAGGGCGATGAGAAGGCAACTTTTTTTGTAGAAACGAAATCGCCATAAGACACTTTCAATTTGGGAACAATCGTATATGTGTTATTTCATTTAAATGCAATATTTTTAGTTTTTTTTTCTTTAGATAGCTGAGGGCTCTATTGAGAGATTGTAATATATAGTTTGTCGTATCAATTTGATTGACTTTAATTTTTCAAATAAGTGGCAACTTGCAGCAGAAATATTTTCGACAGTAAACTGTCTTACGTCTCTTCAGTTTTATATCCATAATAATATTTTATTTATTTATTTTATGAATTTCATTCAATTAATTTTTTCCTTAAAAATATTTTCTATATCTATAGTGCGATATGTATGTTATTATAATTAAATAAAATTAAATGAAGTTTTATAACAGATGGCAACCCTCCTCTTCAAAACAAACAAACAAATTATTAAAATCGGCCAACCGGTTTTCGAGATTTTGTCTGCCGAACAAATGAACTTAACACATATACATATATGTAAAGTCTTATATCATACAATTGATTTGACCAATTGCAACGAAATGTTTCTAATACGTTCTTTTCGTACTTACTTCCAACCCAAAATTGTATGCAATTCGGACCACGGTAACGCGTAGAAAAGTGAAAACCGCAGAACTGCAGTTGGCTGCTAGAAATACTATTTATATATAGTGTTACTAAAAAACGGGATAAACAGTGCATTTTCAAGAGGATTATGAGATTTGCGGACCTTTGGAGTTGGCAACATCGATTAGTACTGCTCGATATGAGAGCATTTCGCTATCTTCCTGCAAACTCTAGCTGGAGAATAATTTTGTCGAACGGACAAATACAAGGTGGTCTGCGGAGCCCACGTGTAGGACAGCAAGGCATATTTGGCCCAGGTTGGATAAGCGTAGATCTAGTCTGTATGTATGTACATAACGGCTGAAGTTTTTTAAAATGAAGAAACACTATTTTCTCTGACGTTTTTCGGAATCTAAGCTCAAGTAGCAATCTTCAAATTTATTTTGAATGGATTAACATTTTTTAGTAAATTTATTGCATGTTTAAATGCCTAAGTAATTATTCTAAATCGATTGCGATATAATTCAAATCAAGCATATTAATATGCATGCAGGCCATTTGGTAGACTTATCCAAGCTATTTATCTCAAATAGTCCACTGATTCAAATGCATATTTGTCATTGATTAATTCCTATACATAACGGTATGCATATCTACATATTTAACCGCTTGACACCAAACTAATCTCACACGAATTCACCGTAATATACTGCAACTCAACTTGCAAGTTGCAACAGCTACTAGCCCACAATGCAGCCGGAAGCACTATGAACCAACCCAAGTCGCGTCAATGCTTCCAACGTGGCTCCACTTACCAGCATACATACATACATATGTAGATATGTGTCTGTATATACGTATGCATATGGATATATACATCATCAGTGTGCGAGGAATAATTATTGCTTTATCATGTCACATTACCCAATATGCACAACAAGATTTATGAACTGAAATTGTTGCCTCCAAGTATTAGTAGCAATGTGTACATAGAGGATGTGGCGTTAATATTCCTTTCGCACCTTATAGCCACTGAAATGCCTGCAGTTATGACAAACAAATTGCGAAATCGCCGAAACAACCAGAAGCTACTATTCTACTACCTTTTTTTTTAGTGCTGCTGTGTGTTGAGTAAGTCAAATTTCCTAACGCTTTTATTTTTGTAGATGTATGCGAGCTTATGGCTTTTGTAAGAAGTGAGTTGGGGCTAGCAACTTGCATACACAATTCACATATATATCTCTACATATTTGTAATAGGGCAACGGATGTAAGCCGAGTGATACAGTGTAAGGCAAACAACAAAAACCAACTATTGGCGGCGCAAAGCAAATGAAGCAGTCGACGCGGATGCGTCAGTACCACAACCAGCAAAATTTATGAGTTCTACGAAGGATGGCGAAACAAAACGTGCGATGCAGATATCGGCAAAAATTATGTGGTATGTATGTACATATTGCTTTATACGGAATTCGGCTGCATAGAAATGAAGATACACTAACTAACAGCTACAGAGATAGCAAGTTTGGCATGGCAGCTGCCTAACTGAACCCTTTTTCATGCAGCCACCGAAATACATAAACAAGAGTATGCCCATAAACATGCATATGACCAGCAACTCCAACGCCTCCCAACCGAGTGGACCACCCAAAAGCCACACATTTAATATCCAAAGGCCAGGCCAACAAGTTCATTTCCTTTGCAAAATGAAGCGTTGGTGGTCAGTAAATTGGTAAAATATGAAAATAAAAACAAATCAAACAAGTGTTGCAGAGCGGCAGCAACAACATTAATAAATAGTAGCTCGGTTAAAATGAAAAAAAAAAATAATAGTGAAACAAAAACTATGCTCAACAAACTTGTGGCAATGTGGCTGTGTTCGCCCATGTGCTGGCTGGCACATGGATACGGCCACAGGGACACAAACAAGGCGAGTGAGACGAATACCGCAGCCCTAGCAGCAGCAGCACCCACCGCCAGCATGACCAATGGTCAGTGGTTGGCAAGGAAGACAAACCGAGCGCGCGAACTTTTGTGGTCTATGAAGTGCTGGTGAGGTTTTCTATTCCGCCCTACTCTTGTTGCCACATTTCACTATTTTTCAGTTAATAGTTATGTAAGTTACATAAGTTTCAAAGTTGTTGAGAAAAATTTTTATAAAAAGGTCTTGGGTGCGAGTTGTGAGTTGTTTACTTTCTGTCGCGGGCATGTGTTACACATGCAACTTCAGCTTAATCCTCTTCTGCATTACTTAACTATTGATACGCTGCTTTGAAATAACGGGTGATTTTTTAAGAGCTTGATAACTTTTTTTTTAAAAAAAACGCATAAAATTTGCAAAATCTCATCGGTTCTTTATTTGAAACGTTAGATTGGTCCATGACATTTACTTTTTGAAGATAATTTCATTTAAATGTTGACCGCGGCTGCGTCTTAGGTGGTCCATTCGGAAAGTCCAATTTTGGGCAACTTTTTCGAGCATTTCGGCCGGAATAGCCCGAATTTCTTCGGAAATGTTGTCTTCCAAAGCTGGAATAGTTGCTGGCTTATTTCTGTAGACTTTAGACTTGACGTAGCCCCACAAAAAATAGTCTAAAGGCGTCAAATCGCATGATCTTGGTGGCCAACTTACCGGTCCATTTCTTGAGATGAATTGTTCTCCGAAGTTTTCCCTCAAAATGGCCATAGAATCGCGAGCTGTGTGGCATGTAGCGCCATCTTGTTGAAACCACATGTCAACCAAGTTCAGTTCTTCCATTTTTGGCAACAAAAAGTTTGTTAGCATCGAACGATAGCGANATTTAACTGAAGCTAATAAAAATCCATTTTGAAAGGATCGTTCTGAAAGGAGTGAGCTTTACAAAATGTAGTGGATTAAGTATAGGCTTATATGTAGTTGTAATCGAAAGCATTACTCCGATTTGTCTACTTCG